AATGAAGTCTTACCAAATGTAACTTAATCAAGGTAGTGACTACCCATCATTTCACAAGCCTGCCCACACTCAAGGAGAGGGAATTATACAAGGCAAGTGTACCAGGAGGCAGTTATTTTGGGAGCCATCAAAGAATTTTGCCTACCATATCCCAGGACTTGTATTTATATATATATAAATAAATATATATATATATATATTGTTTGGTTGGCTGTTTGTTTTTTACGAATGGCTATTAGTAAACTTTCACTTATATTTTAGTACTTTATATACCAGTCACAGTCTGACATATGTTTTTCTCCAATAATTTTTAAAATCAACTATTATTTTCAGTGAAAGGTAACCCACATTCACATTCCTACTCTCATTTCTACACCTTACCAGGACCCTTTTATGCACTTTTCATTCAATGACAGTTTATATATTAAAGGTAAAATATAAAGATTTCATAGCATTATTTGACAAATACAACATGAAGTTTAGCAATAACAAAAAAAGAAAAAACATTTTGCTTATAAACTAATTTTCTAATAAATAAAAAAGTACACTAAAAATACTATTTATAGGATTATTTACAAGTACTGAAAAGAATGTAATCTAGTTGAGAAAGAAGATATAATCACAAAACAAGTTGAATAACAATAAAATATTTAAATTGAAATCTAAGTCAGCATTGAAGGTCAAGTCACAAGGCTGTAAATTATTAATAGTAAAATTAATCCTACAGAAAGTATGAGGTCAGAAGAGAGTGCTCAAATTATTTATTGTGGGGACACAAGCTATCCCAAAACATAGTGGCTTAAAACAACAATTTCATTATACTTCACAATTATGTGGGTCAGGACTTTGGACAGGGCTTAGCTGGACAATTTTGCTTCAAAGAGCACCAACTGGGATCATCTTGTGGTACTCAGCTCGGGGCTGGCCTTGTCTGAAGGCTCCATGAAGAGTTTCTAACAAATCTGGCACCTCACTGCTCCTCAGCCTCTCTCTTTCTCTGCATGGCATCTTATTGTTCAGGGCTGTTAAAATCAAAATGAAGGCCACAGTTTGGATAAACTCCTAGACTGACCACCCAAAGCCACATAGCTGAAACTTAAGCTATTCTGATTTCCCCCAAATGCAAGCTCTAACTATAAACAAAACATAAGCTTTTCTTCCTTATCAGTATGATAAAATTGAAAAAATATGGTACAGAAAAATAAGCTTATACAGCTCTACTTGTCCTAAAAGAAATGCAAGTTTATAGTTGCCAATCATAATAGAGATCAATGTACTTCCTCACTGATGCTTTATAAGCTGTGTTGTTAACTTGTGAGCTGAGCTTCTTACCACTTTTGATTTGAAGTCTCCCAGTTCACAAACTGTTCTTTTGTATGCACAATAAACTCTCATAGTTCTTTTTTACTTGAACTTATTTTGACAGGGCCCTCCATGGTTTGGGCTACTCACAGCCTGGGGGTCTCAGGGTAGTACTTCCTACTCTGGCAGCAGTCTTCTAAGAGCAAGGGTTCCAAGAAAGGAAGTGGAAGCTCTTGCAGCCTGGATCCGGAAGCTCACACAGTGTTACTGCAGTAATATTTAATAGGTCAGAGAAGTCACAGATCCCACACAGCTCAGGGAGAGGACCCTCCTTCCCCCTCAATACACTTGACGAGAATGTCAGAGTCCTTGTAGCCATATTCAATTCACCATGAAGGGGAAGGTCAATTTGGAACAGAAAGGTCAGAAAAAGCTATACAGGAAGGTAGTAAATAATCTGGTTTTGAAGGATATGAAACATTTGAAAAAGTGGAGTGGCAGTATGAACCCCAAATATTAAACATCTAAATATAAAACAATAACAGTAATTCTTCGAAATCTCAAAAGGAGAGAATGGAACTGAGGACACCAGACGTGGGAAAGGGGGAGACGGAGGGAGGTTAGAAATTGGTAAATGGCCACAAAGAATGTTTACAGAGTGTAATGATAAAAAACAAAAACAACAGTAACAGTGGTGAAAGACTTTCAAAATGCTTAGCAAAACAAGAATCATATATATTTCTCAACTTGTTTTGCTCTATCAACAAAAGCAGTGCTCTTTTACCTGCCCGCAATCCTGCCGACTGGGCCAATTGTCGAGCTAGGGCTGGGTCTGGAGCTCACAGAGCCCTCAAGCCCGTTCACAGACTGGGTCACAAACCGTTTACATGCTAGGCGGGGTCCCCAGAGCCCTCACACGCAGGTCTATGAACTAGGTAACCGGCAAAAAGGTCCTTGGAGCCATAAGTTTGAGAGCATGGCTGTGCAGGGCAGAAGCCTGAGGCAGTAAATGCCAGCCAGATGGCGGCGCCGCCCATGCGCACTAACTGCACCTCCCCCCTACACAATTGGGGCCTGATTAAATTATTGTTTTCGCAGCAAGCCTCAACTTGGGAAAGTCACTTTTTCCTGTTCATAAATAGGCAGGTTCAACTGAAAAGATAATTTTTCTTTAAATGAGGTCAGCTCATTTGAAGAAGTGTGAATTTGTGCTGAAGGATTTTATAAAAGAACTAATTGGGAAAGGTCAGTCAGTGTTCATTTTGATCAGAAAAGTGCTTACTGTTAAAAGTTCTCGAAAGTGTAGGGAAATGTTTGCAGGAAGTCCTCAGACAAGATGCATGGCAGCAGGACAGGGTGTGATTTAGCAGCTATTTATCAGGCTTGGGTTTAGCAAGCACCACAAAGTTCTGAGAGGATCACAGTGCATGTTAGTCCTTCAAGATCTTTCATAAGGCTTTGTTCAGAAAGGTTTAATGATTATTATAATTTTCTGACCGAGAGGAAGTTTTCGCTAGATTTATAGTTCACAGATTAGTGTGTATATATGTGTGCGTTCGCATGCATGCTCCTTTTAGTACATTTAGCCTGTTTTGAACTCAGCGCCAGGCACTCGGTAGATAATATTTTTGAACGAATTGGATCATTCGTATTCCCTCACCACCAATCTGAATCATCTACATTCTTTTCCAAAATTTTGCCCATATAATATTAAGCTGGAGACAGAGGAATAGTTTAGTAACAGGAAAAGTCACCATTCCTGTTTGGAGTAAACATAGTTCTTGTTTAACAGTTCAACTTTCAAAAGTTGTATCTAACACTTTCTTGCAATCCTTTTTTTTGACGCCGAGCTGTTTTGAATTTACGAATATCAAAGCTGACCATTAAAAAATAAAGGCACAGAAGGAACAGAGCTTATGAGAAATACTTTAAAAGGTATCTTTCAGTATGTTATAACATCCTGGAGAATCATCAAATCTTACTGCTCTTTTATGTTGTAATGTAGATTCCTCCTCCTCTCCCCAGTAAATCACACGTTTTTAGTTTTTTTTATTTCATTTGATCTGGAACACTGAAAATTCCAAGCCATAACCTGGGGTAAAGGATAGCATTGTCTTAAACAGTGTTCGAGTTTGACGAAAGTCAGCTTCTTTGTGCAGTTTACACAGTATATATACTTTGGGTAGTTTTTGTTTTTTGAGTTCTAGGTAGTTCCTCAAAAACTGTTTGCCAAGCAACCAAAAGGGAAAAAAAACAAACACTCTGTGGGGCCTCGGGACTCTGAAGCCTGGATCTGGAGAGAACCGGTTAAACCTTCAGAGACTGAAGGGGAGGGCGCGTGCGATTGGTAAGCAAAACAAAGAAGGATTAGTCCAGATTATAGGATAGCGCCTTTCACCAGCAAAAATAAACCTCCTTAATAAGGAAGCCCAAAGATGTCCCGGGGAGCAGAAAAGTGTCCTCTATCCTCTCATCTGTCCCATCAAAGTCAACAGGTGAACCCTGCGTCCGATGAACTCCGTAGGAGAGTCTGCGGCAGAATTTCCACCTCTCCCGGAGGAGATGGGCTAGACACCACCTGCCCCTGCGTGTTTAGCAGGCTCCCTCTCCGACCTGCTGGCGCCCAGAGGCCGGAGGCCGGGGAGGATGCGGCGCGCAGAGGCACCGCACATCCGGGCGCGCCTGCAGCGGCTGCGGGCTGCATAATTGATGGGGGGCCGGGCGCAGCGCTGGGCCGGGCTCGGGCGCGGTGAGAGCGTCTCGGGGGAGGAGGGCAGGGCGGCCGGGCCCCTCCCACTCCGCTTTATCTCGCGTGTCCCGCCCCCGGGACTGGCAGCGGGCACCCGGCCACCGGCGAGTGTGCGCAGGGCCTCTGGCCACCGACGCCGGGAAGCCTCCACGAGAACCGCTGCTGACCCGCCGGCACCATGCACCCCTTCTCCGGCCTGCAGGGACCCGGGGCGCCATCGCCCCTGCCTCTCCTCCTCCTGTGCCTCGTCGCTGCGGCGCGCCCCAGTTTGGCGGGCGACGATCCTCCAGGTGTGATGAGGGACGGGGAAGGGAGGGCAGAGGGCGCGCGGGGCTCGCTGGGGCGGCTCGGGCTCCTCCGCTCCCCGGGGTGAATCTGGAACGAACAGCGCCCCGACAGTCGGGGGCGGTGGCAGGAGGGCAGGGTTTGGTTTTTCCTGGGAAGAGGGTGGTAGGGTGTGTAGGTGAGGGGGAGGTGCGTGAAGAAGCCAGCGACTTGGCCTCTTCTAAAGTCGCAGGACTTCTGAAAGCCACGCTCCCCAAGGACAACTTCCTCCACTCAGATCTATAGTAAAGCTCAAATATCGTTATTTCTTCCTCCTGGCTGGTGAGTTGGCTTTGAGGATGTTGTTTAGAGCTGAGTGAAAATAACATCATAACCAAACACCCAAAGCCAGCTAACGACATATATGATGATGTGTATGTGTATCTTCTTTTACACCCTGGTCTTTGAAAATGAAGTTTTTTGTGGTGGTGGTTTTGTCGTTGAAAACACTTTGAGAGAGGGAGTTGTGTGCAAAACATTACCAAAGCCAACACCAAATTTGCCATTTTAGCTTCACCTGTTTATATTTACTTTTTACTTTGAAAGTGTTCCACCTGACTGTGAAAGTTGATGAGATCACTTTCTGTCAAACCCAGGCAAAATAGGGCTGGGAAAGGCAGGGATCATGATTGTGTGGGATATGAGCAGTTTCCAAGGACTCTCTAAAGCTCATCAGAAATCCCTTCACCTCTTTCACACATTTCCTGCTTTGCCTGTGAGGTTTATCATTGGACAAACATTCTTTGGAACTGCGGTAATTCAGATGAGATGCTCCGAAAGAAAGTTGCCCAATAACTGCATCTCAGCCAGCGAACTCAGGACAAGTCTGACTTTGGGCCTCCGAAACCAGTGAACCAATGAAGCAGCTTTTTGCCAATGAAAGCTTTCTTTTACCCTTCCCTCACTGAATGCACCGGCTTGCCATGGCGTGCATTCTGGATTATAATTCTATTTCCTATTTTCAAATAAACTCAGTATATTAGGAGATACTTTTCTCTAATTTTTTTTTTTTTAGGTTAACATGACCTACTTTCTAATTCAAGTCCCTGTGTTATAGATCTTAAAGTGTTAGCAGCGAGTAAGGATAATAGAACATCACCGCCTCTCATGCTGGTAAATACTGACCACCAGTAACTAAAATTGGAACATTATTCTACAAAAGGTTTTCAGCCTTTCATAGGAGTTTATATTCATGAGCTTATATAGCATGCAGAGTTTTTGTTACATACCACAAAGGAGAAAGAATAAAGGGTAAGATTTTATTAAAATTTAAATTGACAATTTATAATAATATACATTCATGGGTACAAAGTGATGTTATGAGATTGTTTAATACAATGTAAAATAATTAAATCAAGGTAGTTAACATACTCATCACTTCAAATGCTTATCTTCTGTGATGAGAAAATTTGAAATTTACAATCTGAGCAATTTTTTTTTTGCTATTATTAACTATATTCACCACACTATGCAATAGAACTAAACAAACAAAAAGCACACCATATTTCTCCTAACTGAGATTTTGTACACTTTGATCATCATCTCCCCATTCCCCTCTCCCTCTTCTTCCCCACTTTTGTAAACACCATTCTACTCTATGCTTCTATGAATTCAATTGTTTTAGATTCCACGTATAAGTGAGAATATGCCTTTCTGTGCCTGGCTTATTTCATTTAACATAATGATAACAAGTGTTGTTGAGGATTTGGAGAAAAGGGAACCCTTGTACACTGTTGGTGGGGATGTAAATTAGTATAGCCATTATGGAAAACTGTATGGAGGTTCCTCAAACAACTGAAAATACAATTACCATATGAAACAGCAACACCACTTATGAGTATTTACCCAGAAGATTTGAAGTTAGTATGTTGAACAGATGTCTGCACTCCCATGTTCATTGCAGCACTATTCACAATAGCCAAGAGATGAAATCAACAACCTAAGCATCTGTCAACAAATGGACAAAGAAAATGTGGTATATATATGAAAAGGGATAACATTCAACTTTAAAATACAAAGGAATTCTGTTATTGGCGATAATATGGATGGAATTGGAGAACATTATGCTAAGTGAAATAAGACTTCATTTTTTATAAATGCCCTTTGTAAGGCCTAGTTGTTATCAACTTAGAGTATTTTGGGTTGCTTCCGTTTCTGAATTTCCTTGTTCCACATCTCTTTTCCATCATACCACTTATAAAGAATTGTCCAGTACATTTTTCCCCTTCTGGGTATCCCTGATTCTTCTGTTCCTGATTCACCCATTATTCACCTCAGATATTGCAGTTCTGAGAACCAGTGCATTCTGGGTTAGCCCTAGGACTTCAGTTCCCCACTTGGCTGTATGTCATAATTACCAGAGAGCTTTGAAAATGCTGATACCTGGATCCTTCCCTCAAATACTCTGAATCATGTGGCCTGGGATTCAGCCTGAATATTAGTAGTTTTAAAATTCCCCATGTGATTCTAATCATGTGATTCTAAGCAGGTTAGAAATCACTATTTTAAAATGATATAACTTAGTTAGTGCACTGTTAGGTAGTGATTTATTCCACTGGCATCAAGTTTAAGTTGATATTCTGAAGACTTCTAAAATGAAAAAAGTAGGAAATAAATGAAAGTGGAATAAATGAAGGTATAAATAAATGTGATGAATTAGGGGAAGGGGATGTCTGTGTATGAATATGGTATAAGTTCTGTCCTTTAGCTGTACTTAAGCTGAAATTATGGAATAAAGTGTCATAAAAGACATGAAGTTAGCATCTAGTTTTAAGCCAGAGTTAAAAATCGTCAGGCAACCTCAGCTTGATTTTTAGATTCTGTATTGATCTCCATGAGATTCAGTTTTCTCTTTGCTAAAGGATATTGTGAGGTTTACTGGCTATTTTTTATGTAGATGCTTTGAATACGTGGAGGTAGTTATTCTGTTAACCTAACACTTTGGACCAAATTTTAATAATAAAATGGTTATAATTTATCATATTTGCTATATAATCACTGTGTGCCAGGCACTGCACTATGTAGGTTATAGCCCTATGAGTTAGCTTTTATTATCCCTCACTTTCAGATGAGGAAATTGGGGCTTAGGGTTAAGTAATTGCCCAAGTATACATAATTAGTTAAGCAGTAGAGCAGGAAATTTAGCATTGATCAATCAAACTACAGTGTCTTCCTTCAACGCAGTGCTTAAATACAATATGCAGTTGTCTCTCTGAAACATTTGGACCCAAGTATACATAATTAGTTAAGCAGTAGAGCAGGAAATTTAGCATTGATCAATCAAACTCCAGTGTCTTCCTTCAACGCAGTGCTTAAATACAATATGCAGTTGTCTCTCTGAAACATTTGGGTATGCCTGTGAAAATTTGGAACCACTGACAAAGAATACAGTGTGTGAATCTAAATGTTTGATTCGAGCTGAAGGACATGCTGACAGTTTGAGTCCTGGAATAAAGTTAGGCACAGGACTCACCTTGACTATTTGCGGGTGTTTCATTTAAAAAAGAAATGTAAAATATCGTAAAGGAGAAATATTACATAAATGGGAATATTTAAACACCATCATTATCACAATCACATGGAACAAATTGGGGAAAATGGATCCTTTTTATCTTTTGAAAAATGTTTGCAGTGGAGTCATTTAAATTTATCATTTTAAATTCCAGAGTACATAGCTTATGCGCTTCCTTAATCAAGCCCCTTCCCTATGTGACCCCCACACCAAGCAACTGCCTAGTAAGATATATTTGTTGAAACAAATATTATTTGAGTGCCCACATATGCCTGACATTGTGTTAGTCTATATCTCAGTAGAAAGCACTAGTAGTTTTTACCTTTAAAGGCATTTAAACTATTTGAAGGAACAAATTAACTAAAAGCCTACCTTTAATGGGGATGTTTTGATGCATCAAAATTTTTACCCTAAATTTATCATCATGACTATAATTATTCTATATAAACATTTGTTAAGAAAGTTCAACTGACTCTTCCTCTTCCTGATCTTCTGTTACTCCCCCCACCCCCACTCCCTTCTCCCTACCCACCCATCTTTCCCTGAATGCTCCTGTAGCTCCTGTAGCTGTTGCATGAGGAATAGCAGGAGGACACCCTCACCTGATGGATGGAGCTGAATGGGCCCAGATTAGGGTATTAGAGACTGAACCTGGGAAGGATGGTGTCTAAGAAGGAGGGTGGCCCAGTGTGGAGTATTAGAGCCTGAGTACAGTGAAGTGGTGTTCCTGCAGAGAGGGGTCGCTTGGCACAGGGTCTCAGAGCTGAGCAAAGTGACAAGGGTGTCTATGTGGGAGCAGCTAGATGTGTGGTTTCTGACCCTGATCAAGGTATGGAGGTAAAGCATGAGGGAGGGCAGACCAGCGTGGGAGGTGGAGGGTGACTCTCCACTGCTATGCAGGTTGTCACATGGCAAGAGTGGGCTGAGTGAGAGAGCTAACCTGCTCACTCCTTCTTCTTAAAAAGCCATCAGAACCATGCCCCTTGCTCCATGAATGGATCAATCCATTTATAGGGGCACAGTGTTCACAATTTAATCACCTCTTAAAGGCTTCACCTTTCAAATATCATAATTAGATTTCCGACCTTCTTAACATTGTTAACAAT